TGGAAGCCTATTGAAAAAGTTGATATCGCTTAACGTATCTCGTAAACTCATCAGCGAGGCTTCCAGTCCGTGATCCTCAGGTATGACGTAAAAGAGACGCTCTAGTCGCCGCTTCACCTGCAAGCAAGAATTGAGCAGTGCTGCTTTCTTTCAATGATTGTTTTGAGCTTAATGCTGACCGTAGCAGAGTTTTCCGTAGCAGCAGATTATGAATATACCTGGAAAGTTGCACCATGTTGCAGACAGTTGTATTAGACAATGTTTATACGATACAGTACTTACTCGTCACCTTCTCACTAAGAAAAGGCAAATAGGACGTGGCGAAGTATACTTCTGGGGCTTTGGAATTTCCATAATTCTGAGTCCCATATACTAAATAAGGTGCTGTGCCAGCTTGCTTCTCCAAGCTTATATTCATCAGCCAGCACCTTGCCAGAAGACTTATAAGAGTAAGAACGAGTGGCGGAAATCATATAGTAGATTGAACTCAGGACTCTTTTATTAGGCTTATCAGAAGGTCAGACATACGTATAATTGGACCTAGTAGCCCTTTGGGGGGAAATGTATTCTTTAATTGTGACTGCACATACATATGATGTTTATCACGGCATTGTTCGCTCTCTCTAGCGCCAGCGCTTCTCTAGTCCTCACTACTCTAGCTATCAATTACAAACATCATCTCAAAAAAAGTACCTTAAATGTGCAACGCCATCTCATATAGAAATTAAGATTCGTGTAAAGAAAGGAGGTCACACAATGTAGGGAACGCATACAAATCTAACAATTGCTTTGCTAAATAGTAGGTATCTTGGGCAGAAGTGCGTCTTATTTTCGAAGGCTATGCTATGTATATCTCGGCTTATCCCAAAGACTATAAACGGAGCTTCGTGAGACGGCAGTCATAAGCGTGTTCAGCGTGCCTGCAATATTAATCGATGTCTATGTTTCATAGTCACTCGCGACTATTATCGAGGCGTGGAACCTATTTCTATCGATATGTACTTTGCTGTAATTACTATCAATCCATTAACGTATTAAAGCTGATAGATGTAGGCTACATGATGTTAATCGCCGGGCGCTCAAGTAAGCCTTGTTATGGGGCTGGAAAGAGTTGACACACGCTAATTACTTTCTGCAATAGCTAATTCTAGATGAGGATATGTGTCCCTACTGTAGTGACGCTACCAAGAGATGTACAAGCACAGGACATAGTATAATAGCGGGGGAATCATATTGATCAGTTTCAATGGATTTCAATTGTGAGATACCTCCCTATTGTACACTACAACTTGGCTTTCTGGGTTACAGCTTCACTATTCCCTGTATCATCAAGTAGTAGAACAACACTCCCCACCTATGCTCAATCTTGTTCATTATTCAAGGTCTAACATACTATGGAAATAGTGTGGGCTATAGTTGTTGGATACTGCAAGAGCTCCATGGGAACATCTCCAATGAATTCTACACCCACCTGGGTTCGGGGGCTCTGACAATATCGCGCATTTGTTGAGGAGTGTGGAGGATGTTCGAGCCGCCGTAGGCGCATAAAACTATCACTAATATGTGGAAGATTTAATTGCAGCACTTTAGAGGCATGGTCCACCAGAATGCACAAGGCGTCACGAGATTTCATCATTGAACAGTATTCTCAATGCACAATTTTCGTTACATGAATCTAACGTTCGTGCTGGAAAAACCAACCGGTGCAACCAAAGTGTCGGAACAAGCTGAGAGTGACCGGTCGCCCACGCCGTTAGTTTGCCAGCCTTGAGTTGGCGCCCGGTACAGTTGACTATTTTGGAAGGATTGGTCCACCAACCATAACCGAAAAGAGGTAGAACAACGACCTGGCTACATGGTGTGCCAGCATGGACGTTCCGCGCATGGTTACCAGCCGCGCAGGGTTCTTCTTTAGATTATAACAAACCATGTGTGCCAGTCCTTAGCGCTCTCTAGTCATCAGGAAACAAAGTAAAAGTGCAATTTTCACGGAAGCGCTACATTGATAGTTGGTCCACAAATGATCTACATGGTCTGGACGAGTCGAATCGTCGCGCGATTGATTGCAACGAAATCTTCTGTGCTCGATGGTTTGCGCATCAATATCATTCTTCAAAGCTATTTGCTTTCCATCAATTAAATAACCATTCAAAGAATAGCATCGGTGGTTTAGTGGTAAAATTAGCCGTTGCCATCTCTCTTCGAGATCAGTTTCGGCTAGCCCCGGGTTCGATTCCCGGCCGATGCATTGATCTTTTTTTGCTTTTCTCATGGCATTGGAGAAGGTGTTGTTGACCAGCCTCGAGATGTGGTGCTGCTAGGAGAGCATCTCTGTCACGTGACCTACTCACTGTGACGACCTTTTTGCTCACACTATCAGACTGTGTGGCTGTTGAACTGGAGGTGTTTCTGTAAGGCTTATGTTTCAGTCACAAGATACCTTTGACATGCGTGGCGTATTTTGAATTGTATTTTTCGTAAGCATGTGTGCTACTTCCACGACTGTCAACCTCATTACTCTTTGTATCATTCCAGCAATTGATTCTGCAAATTCATAGAGCCCTTTCCAAGTTCTGTGTTTTTGCATTCTACCCGTAAATAGAACATAAACTTAAGGTACTCAATACCTTGAACCGTAGATAGTCGTCAAGTGTAAACGTCTGACACAACCCTGCTTTGTAGCATAGTAAAAAGCCTCCAACTAGACGGTTTTCAGTAGATTAGAGCATTCTGTACAGTATCTAGTAGGTATCCTCTCTCTTTTCGTTGTTTTCCTAGTCGTATTCCATTGTGCGCAAGAGTTGCGTAGCGAGCTTGATGCTTTGGCTCAATATGAAATGAAGCCGCATTTTCCCCTCAAAACCGAGTCCCAGGCCTTGATATGATGAGTCACAATGATTAACACTCACAATGTCTCAATATACTCACCGCATACTGAATTAGAGGAGTGAATGGTGGTATGTGGAAGATATCGCTATTCCAAATCCGGTTAGCGCGGCTTTGCGATAATCGAATGTCGAAATTCAGTTCATCCACCATTGACCGCCGACGACATCGACACAACCAAGCCCCACACCCAACACCCCGCCCTCTACCTACATATCAGTCAAAATGGAGAACGAACGCGGCGAGCTCGTTGACCGTAAGAGCCATCTTTCCCTCGCGCGGCGGCTGGCGGTGTTTTGCCCACAGCGCGGCCCCGCCAGCGCGCACACTGCACTCACGAACCACCATCGCTAACTTGTTGACAGTCTACGTCCCCCGCAAATGCGTGAGTGCCCGTCGGACAAGTAAATGAGTCGTGAGCGGCGATACTGACCCCTTCAAGTCGGCTACCGGACGCATCATCAGGGCCAAGGACCACGCCTCTGTCCAACTGAGCATCGGCAAGGTTGACGAGAACGGCCGCTACACCGGTGACAACCAGGTCTACGCCATCTCCGGCTTCGTTCGCGCCATGGGCGAGTCCGACGACAGCCTTAACAGGCTCACACAAAAGGATGGATTCCTCAAGTCCGTCTGGAGCGCGTCCCGTTAAGTGGTTGGGGATTACGGGTGGAGGTATGACATGTGACAGTACCTTGGGGTACCTGTATATGGAGACGACATCAGCTGACGGGAGCCAGGAATTCGGCATGTTAGATCTCTTTCGAAGACGGAGGTGTGCAATCTACGGCCAAGGCTTCATTTCCTTTTTCCGACGGACCAACGATGGCACGAGGAACGGGAACCGGTTGAGATATGAGGTCCATCGAATTCATAAAACTCTGTTTACGATCAATGCAGCTATGAATCTCGTCCTTCTCGATTGTGATATTGTCTTCTTGTTCGTCGTGTCATGCGATGAAGATAGTACTGACCTGAAATGATCGTACTGTCTAGTGACGAGGCTAGGTATTGACAAATTCCCGATGACACGATGTGAGCCTCATCCAACCGCATCTTTCATAGATAGGCTACATCAACTGCTCGTTACTAACTCACATTCTTGTTCTCGCACTGGGTCAATATCGACAGCGACATCCACACACACTCACATCTGACTTCAATGCGCAGCCTTGTTGACAAATCTATGACTAGCCATGTCACATTGCTTGCCCAACTCCGTCACTCACATCTTACTCATTACATAACTACGTCATAGAGATACCGATTTGCAATTCCCCAGTAGAACGCACACGATGCACCGTTACGTGGCTCTGCGACATACACTTCCCTAACCATCAGATGTCATCTGCACCTCTCCAAACCACCCGAAGACTCGCACACACGTAGATATCTGGGTGATGTTGCACCACAAAAGAATCACACGAAGTGATAAGCAGAGATCAGCAATGCAGCATTCCACCTGCTCATTCGTGTTGGCCAGTTCGTATCTCCATTTCTCTCTCTCTTCCTTCCTCTCTTTGAAAAATAACCACACAAAAATAACAAGAAGCAGCCTAACTACCCCACCACACCTCGCTTAAACGGCAGCTCTGTGCCTCTCCCTGCCCCCCGCCGTCATGTCCCCGCTCCTCAGGCCAAGCGTAAGCGCATGTATACACTTGCCACTTATGCAACTGCATGCCTCATGCCGCGCAGCCGAGCGGGCGAGAACTGTCGTGTAACGTTTGACGAGGCCAAGATTACCATGTCGAGAAAGACGAGAGGGGGGATGTGGTCTAGACTTTTGTTTACATTCTGCAGCTAGAGAATGAGCGGGGGGAGGGGTGCGAGAAACACGACGAGATGAAAGTCCTGAGAAGCCAATGGCTCTGTGCGGAATAGTAGGCCAAAACAGTACATGTTTGTTCTATTACCAATCTCTATTTTTTTTTCGGGAAGCTTGTCACATAGTTTTGTAGCGAATATCTACATATTGAACTTGGCAATTCCCAGAATTTACAGTATGAATAAGACATAAGAGCAAAACAGGAGAGCGGGTGCGAGAGAGAGAGAGATCTGGGTACAACCAGTCCGATCTTGTCCTCCTCCGCTTAGTGTCCGCCGCCGCATCCATGTTATTGGATTTCCAGAATACATGGGTAAAAATCAAGGTACGACGATACGAGGAAAACTCACAGACCAGAGCCCAAAGAAAAAAACTCAATTCAAGACCATACATACATATACGGACCGATGGGAAAAAAAACTGTATTCTTTCGCTAAACCCCTCCCCCCCAAAAAAAGCGCCCGCCCGCCGCCCGAAGGGAAAGCAAAAAGATTAAGTTGGAAATGCATGTAACAATGTACATAGACTTGGTGGAAATTTTTCTTTCTTTCTCGGGATTACTGATATCGCAGGGAACACTGGCGTAACGTAAGCCGAAGAGGCGTTGAGAGGCTTTTTGTTGTGTGGGCGCTTGAATAACGAGGGGAGAGGGGGGGGAAGGTGTCACCCGTTTCCCCCCCCCCCC